AAGAAGAAACCAGAATAGCTTTTCCTCTTCCCTACAGACAGTTCAGGAGCACAAGAGAAAAATGAACATTTTTCCTTCCATTTTGTTCCACTGGAAGAGAAGTCAAAGTGCCCCTCAGTGCAATTAAATACACAGAAAGTTAAGAAACAAAACCAAGCGACACTTGGAAAAAACAAATATCCATCGGCTGCTGTGAGCTGGGAACTGACCTGAACTCCTGAAACGCCCTCCAGCCAGAAGCCATCTCTGGCAGGGGCTATCCAGGCTCTGCAGCCACAGGGCCCTTGCTGGAGCTGCAGCTGCCCTCTAATCAATTGGGGTTTGCTGTGAGACATCTCTTTTTCCAGCTCAGTAATTAAGAGCCTATTTTTAGAAAAATGAGCCACCACATTAATCAATAAGGAGCAGCCAGGTCCTCAAGGGTAAGAGGGTTGGAGTTGCTCTGCTCCAGCCTCAGGAGTTTGTCCCCAGCCCCATGGTRTGTGGTGGATCCAGGTGCTGCAGGGAGCTCCACGCTGTTCCTGTACCTCGCTGGGGCCCCACAGGGCACCTGGGACCTTCAGCTCTGTGGGCATTTCCAGGGGATGCTCCTGCACAAAGGAGTGCAGGGGCTCCTCAGTAACACCACTGAGGAAGGGTTTGGGAGGATGCCTCTGGCCAGGGGGACTCGGAGCAGCTCGTTCAGGTCTCAGCAGCAGCCCCCAATGGGGAGAGCAGGGACACAGCCATCCCCGCCCCACGYTCCTGTTGTCCCTGCCTAGGCTGGYCCTTCTGCYTSCCACCACCTCCTGCTCCACCCTGCTCAGGAGGAAGAGCCAAGTAGCCTCTTTCCTGGCAATGTTCCCCAGCACGAGGTGTTTAAATCATTTACAAAGGGCTAAAATAGAGCTGGCTCTCTTCCAGGCACTCTGGCATCCAGGCTCTGTAAACAACTCACCCACCAAGGGAGTCAGCCGGGAAAAAAGGCTTTTCACGTCCATTCCCCAGGCTCCACTTCCACAGAAACCTTCCAGCATGATCCTTTCTCAGCTGTAAGAGCAGCAGAATTGTTTCAGGTCTTCACTGACATTCCTTTTCCCCCAAGCACACTTGTGGACATCTCACATGACTCCCTTCTACCAGTGGATAGAAAAGAGGACTCTCTCTGCACAAAAAAAAAAAAAATTAGCTGATGTGGTAAGTCCGATGCGTTTCCCYGCCTTGGATATTTCCTAGGTTCCCTTTCAGAGGCAACTTATTTTGTTAATAGAATTGACCTTTATGGAGACAGGAATGAACCTGAGTATTTTCTCATGGCTGCTGCACCTCACCAGACCCCAGGAACTCACAGGGAGAATCAATAGGACATTTGTTTCTTAGGCTGCAAGTGATTCACCAAAAACCATTGGGATGAACATGGAAAATACCAGGAATCAGAATATTGCCCAGCTTTCAAAATCCCARCCATGCTGTCTGGGGTGGCCAGGAGACCAGCTGCAAGAGGAGCCACCCAGCATGTCTCCTCTGCAGGGTCTGTGGCAGGTCTCAATTGCTCTCCCCAGGGCCCACAACCCAAAGGAACACCCCAGAAGCTGGAGCTCCCCCCTCTCTGACTCGCCCGGTGACCAGCAAGTTCCCAAAACTCCTACTCTGGTCCCACAGGGGCAGGAGATGGAGTGCTGCAGCCACACTGGGATGAAGATCRCCCTAATCCTGCTGGAGCAGCCAAACCTCCTGGGCCCTCTGCAGCACCAGGTGCAAGGGGAAGGATGCAGTTCCCTGGTTTCCCAGCTCCTCCTCTCCAGCTCCTCCATCCCTGGCCTGAGTGGTGCATGGTGGGGCACAAATCAGAGCCACTCGTGGCAGGGTGACATTGAGGTAGACAGGGTGCTTGGGGGTGGTCAGAGAGAACCAACTCATCATTCTAACACACCCCTGCCTAGGGCTGGGAGCTCCTGGGCACCCCACAGGGGTTTATCCCCTCTGAGTGGGCAGTGGTGGATCTGGAGTTCTCCTTGAAGAGTTGTACAGAGGAGGATGAAGCCTCTCATGAAGAATAAAAACCCCCAACAATATGAGAACCCACACCTGGTTGCRATTTGGGAAGCGCCGTCCTCATGTCCCTCCCGGATTTTGCCAGCAGGTCCACATCAGACTCTGACCTACCCAGCTCCTGCCACCCCATCCCCTGCTGTTCCAAGGGGCACTCAAGGCACAGCCAGATGCCAGCTGAGGATTCACCCTGCTCTCACAGGATGTAGGTGTCCCTCCTGCATGCTGGCCTGGGCTGGGTGATTTGGCAGCGCAGATGCTGGGCACAGGTCAGGCATATGGTCAGTGAGAAATACCTGACAGAGGAGAACCTGAATCAGCACTCTCCAGGGAAACCTCAGAGGAGCAGTGCTGGAAGCATGGAGCGCTGGAGCAGCAGGGCTGCAGTGCTCACAGAGCTGTGGAACAGCCAGGACAGAGTCCCAGCCTGGCACTGGGCTGGAGGGAGAGAGGGGTGAGGAAGGCTGATCCCTGCACTTCAGGGAGCACGGCCAGCATCTTCCAGGTCCTGTGTCCCTGCCCGTTTCTGCCCCAAGGCCAGAGGATTGATCATTCCACAGCTTTCCCTCCCAGATGCTGGGAGCGGCTGCTGTTGCTCCTCACCATCTGTCGTGTTTGTGGTGTCAAAGAAGCCTCTGCTGAGAGCTGGCCCATGAAATATGCATGGCTTGGCCTCCCCTTCTAAACTGCCATCTCCTCCTGTGCCAAATTCCCTCCCTGCCTATTAGTCTCACACTCAAATGTTTCTTCACATTTTACGGTTTCTCGCRCCATCCATAACAGCATCTCCTGGATTTATTCCCATCACTGGTGTGGCCAAGAGTGCCCATGGAAAGACTTGGATGTGTGTTATCTGGCCTGGGGCATGTTCCCTGAGTGGGATACAGCAGCACGGTCCTGTCCCTGCTGTGTGTTCCAGCCATGGGCTGCACTGAGCTTCCCACTCCAGCTGCAGCCACCATGAGCAGGGACTGTCCCTTCTGTGCTAGCAGCACCTGCCTGGCCATGGTGGGGMTGGGGACAGTGGCCTTGAGGGCATAACATCACAGCCGAGGGGGATTGGGAGCTGGGGTGGTCAGTGCTCTGCAAGGCCACGGTGACCCACAAGGGCTTGGCACAGCCCCCACAGCAGCCTGGGAGCATCCCTTGTTGGTCTCCCTGTCACTGACAYGGCTGCCAGCTCAGGGATTTCCTCTGCTTTGGGTACCACCACCCCAAGAGAAACCCCACCAGATTTCACTTCCACCAAAAACTGGCTTTTTTTTACATTTCATCTCTGAGTTCAGGGCTGAGAATAAAGTTTTCAGAATCTCAGACCTGGTTTGCTACCACAGACTCCCAGTCCCAGCCAGATATCATGGAGCTTCAGCTCTGCTGGCATAGCAGGCAGCACTTTGGAAGCTTTCCCTGTTTCACAGGGGTGACTGGTGCCATTAGAGCCTTTGAAAGGAATTTTCTCTGTGGCACCTGGCTGAGAAACAACGTTTGAACTGCAGCCCAAGAATTCATATGTGCAGTCTCATCACGACAAGGAACTTGGGGTGAATTATTTAGCTCTAAATGGCATAAAAGAGTTAGCACAGGGAATGTTTTGAAGGAAGTGAATGCTTTTCCAGAGCTTTGTACCCAGCTCTGTCAGAGGCAGTGCCACTGTCTGGCTGTCACCGCGGAAGGACAAGATGTTCCCAAAGAGAACCTTACAAATGAGCTCCGGGAATCCCCGTGGTTTCACTACTGGGTACAGCAATGTCAGTGTTGGGGAGGGCAGAAAAAACAATTGCAGGAACTAATTTTCCCAGCTCCTGCCTGCGCTGAGCATTCCCGGCACAAGATGTCACTGAGGAGCTGGATTTGGACAGCTCTCCATCAGCCCGGAGCCATCCTGCGGGAGCCACTGGAAACGGGAGATGGGCATGGAGAATGAACAAGGTCACAGAGAGAGAACGTGGGCACAGAGAGGARATGAGGGCACAGAGGAGGGGCATGGAGCAGAGAAAGGATGCAGCTGTGATGCTGTTGTGAAACAATCCTGYGAAAAGGAAGGGAGGTACCTGATCTCCCAGGCCAAGACTCGGGAGAGTTTCTGCCCGCGGGGTGTTGGGGAGGTGCTCGGTGATCTCCGGARCTCAGCACTGGGTGTGCCGGGGAGGAACAGCTCAGGAAAACGCCTGCCAGGGGCAGGACACGCACTCGCCCTGCCTGGGAAGATCCCGAGGCCCTGCCAGCAGTCTCTGGGGCTCCACGGAGCAGGYGAAGCCAAACAGCCCCAGCCCATGCCGAGGGAGCCAAGTCTGCTGCCTCCAGCACCTCAAGCACCCATGGACCCCGACCAAATGAGTGAGAATTCGTCTGAAACCCCCAAACTGTTCACACACGCATCAGGAGGAGCAAGTGYAGGGGCTTAAAACATCTTTCCCATGCCTTGTCCCCCAAATGTTTCCAGCTCCACAGCCTGGAAATACCACAGCCTCCCCCAGGGATGGCTACGAGGGAACAGGGACCCTTTGAGGCGTCCTTTCACCCTCCCTGGGGCTGCCCCGAGTAGTCAGTAGCCCCTTGGCCCTGCAGAGTCGGCCCCGATGCTCCCCCCAGGTCTCTTCAGGGACCACTTCAAGGCTCCCTTGGGACCCTCATAAGTTTCCCAAGGGCTCCTCCAAGGGCATGAGGCACTCTGCCCTGCTCTCAGTAGTGCTCCAAGGAAGAGATACCCCTTCAGCCCCCACACAGGGCTCCCCTCGACCCGAATCTGCCCCTCCAGGTCCTTCCTGAGGCTTCCAGGGAGGGATGCACGCCCGGGACCGTCTGCGCCAAGGAGATGGGACTGAGGAAGGCGTCGGGTTGGGGCTGTGGGAACTCGGTGCACTGGGCAGGGTGACTCCAGTCTTGATGCTGGTGCCGGTGACGGTGGCAGTYCCGGTTCGTATCTCCGACCCGGTCCCTATCCTCGTGTCGGTCTTGGTCTCAGTCTCGGTTCCGATSCCGGTTCCAGTGCCAGTCCCAGTGCCAGTCTCGGTGCCGATGCTGGTCCCGGTCCCTGTCCAGGCACCAGTCCTGGTGCCGCTTCCTGTTTTGGTTGCAGTACCGATCTCAGTGCCGGTCCCGTTCCCATTCCCACTGCCGGTCCATGCCCTCATGTCGGTGCCTGTCCCGGAATCAGTCCGAGTCCCAGTCCCGATCCCRGTCCCKGTTCCCATCCCCGTGCCGGTGCTGATGCCTGCCTTGGTGCCAGTCTCAGTCCCAGTCCCGCTGCGGTCCCAGTGCCGATCCCAGAATCAGTCGCAGTCCCGGCCCCGGTCCCCGTCCCGCTGCCGGTGGCGGTGCTGAGGCAGTGCCAGGGCGCGGTGCCCGTTCCGGTGGCAGCAGAGCGGGGCCAAAGGCGGGGCGGAGCGGGGCCGTGAAGCCGGAGGCCCGGGGGCGGTCCCGCGCGGGCCGTACTTAAAGCGGCGGCGGGCGGCGGTCCCGCCGTGCCCATGGCTCTCCCGAGCGCCGCCCGGCTGCTCCGCGCCGCCGTTCGCCGGTGCGATCCCCCGAGCCGCCCGCGCTCCGCGCCCGTCGCCGCCCCCCGCGGATCTTCCCCGGCGGCGGCGGGCACAGGACCCCGGCCGGGGCCGCCCCCTCCCCCGCGGGGCGCGGAGCGGGGCTCGCCACCGCCCGCCGTGGATTTCGGGGACCCGCGGGAGGCGTTCCGCAGCAAGAGCAACGCGGAGCTGCTGCGGGGGCTGGTGGTGCTGGGGCTGTGTGCCGTGGAGCCGCTGGTGCAGCACAACCGGGAGGTGGGTGGAGGAAGGGGTCCGGCTTGGGGGGGATGCTCCGGGGTGGGGCTTATCCCCGTTAGGGGGGTTACCGGCTCTGGACCGGCGGGGCTCTCACTCAAGAAGGTGWSAGTCCCCTTCTGGAGAGWCCCATTTTGGGACTGCGACTCCCGRGATGGGGAGTGTCCCTTCCGGAGGTGCGGGATCGCGRTTCTCTCGCTCCAGGGGTCACTGATCTTTCGCCCCGGGGGGTGCCTGTTTTGCAGGATGTTGGTGCGCCCCGGGGATACYCTCACTCCGGGAGGTGCCGGTCCTGGGCCAGAGGGCTCTAACCCTGGGGGTGCCCAATTCCGCACGCGTCATTTCCCTTCCGGGAGGASTCTCGGTCTGGGAGTGCGCGTGCTGCGGACCTCTCTGTCCCGAGCCGATGGGTGCCCGTTTTTGTGGATGCCAGTCCTGGGTCGGGGATACTTTTCCTCCGGGTGTGCCGGTGCGGGGCGGGTACTGAGCCGCCGCTGTCCCGCAGCTGCTGCAGTTGTGCCAGCGTGTGCTGGGGCAGACGCTGTTCGAGCGGCTGATGAAGATGACATTCTATGGGCAATTCGTGGCCGGGGAGGACCAGGAGGCCATCAAGCCGCTGCTCCGGCGGAACCAGGCGTTCGGCGTGGGCGCCGTGCTGGATTACAGCGTGGAGGAAGACCTGGGCGACGGGCGGTGAGTGCGGGACCCACGACCCGCGGGGCGGTGGCCGGGGAGGGGGGGGTGGTGGCCCCTGGCCGTGCTGCCATTGGCTGCGCCCGCCCAGCCCCCCGCTCCCATTGGCTGCGGGAACTCTTTGCGTCACGGCCTCGCCCCCCCCCCCCAGTGCCACGCCCATGTCCCGCACAGGGGGGTGGCAGTGCCCCACATGTTGGGTGGCAGAGCCCCGCACAGGGGGGTGGCTGTGCCCCGCACAGGGGGGTGGCAGTGCCCCACATGTTGGGTGGCAGAGCCCCGCACAGAAGGGTGGCAGTGGCCCGCACACGGTGGGGGGCTGTGTTCTGCACACGGTGGATGCAGTGCCCCACACACGAGGGGAGGGAAACTGTGCCCCACACACCGGGGGGCTGTGTCCTGCACACGGGGGTGCTGGGTCCCCATTGGGCCATATCGCTCCCCCCGTCCCTCTGCCCCCCTGGCTGCTGCATCCCCTCTGTCCCCATCTATTCCCCTGCACACAACGGAGTGCAACCTCTCCCTGGTGGTGCTGTACACCCCAAACCCTCCTGCAYACCCTGAGKGCAATCCCACCTCTATCCTCCATCTCCTATGGGGTGCTGAGCCCCCCATTCCATCTTCCCTCTGGGGTGCTGCCAGCCACGTCCCATTTTCCCTAACCCCCCGGAACGCTGTGTGCCCCCCGCCCACCTCTCTGCACACAATGCGTTGCTGTCACGCTTGAAGTCCCCCTTCCCCCCCATATTGGGATGCTGCCCCCATTCCTGCCCCGCCATCCCCCACCATATGAACACTTTAGGGTGCTGCTCCCCCACATTTTGGTGCGGTCAATGATCTTGGAGYTCTTTTCCAATCTTAACAATTCCATGATTCTGTGACTTCCACCTTGCACCCTCTCACGCTGGGGTGGTGCCCCCCGTTCCCACAATACCCCCTCAATCCCGGGCAGCCTTCGCTGCCTCCCGCCCTCCGCCAAGAGCTGGCASCAGCCCAAAGCTGCCGATAACTTTCCATTATTCAGTCTGCCGTTCAAGGCAGCTCCGCTCTATGGATCGATGAGCCGATAGCCGGCACGCCATGGTCACGGCGGTGTCCCCCTACCCACAAAGGTGGCCCTTCCAGAGGACACTAGCTGGGGATGCGCCGTCCCCCGGCAGGGCTGCACAGCGGCAGTCTCTGCTGCCAGCTGGGGACACCRTCCGGCTGTCACATGCTTGTCACGTGGTGTTAAAAACACAGCGGAAACGGCTTTTTAGGGTGATTTGAGAGCGGRGTGTGAGTCAGGGTGGTGATGCAGGTGCTGCCGCTGGGAACCTTATCTATGGTCCACACGCGGGCATTGCTTATCGGGAGCCCCCATGTGCCATGGCGGGTGCCACTGCCCCTCGCTGCTGCTGCTGCTGCTGCTGCTGCCGCTGCTGCTGCCAGACATCCCCGGGAGTGAAGCGTCTGTGCATCCGTGATGGGAGCGGGCTCTTGCTGAGGGCAGCGCAGGCTCGGGAGGTGTGCGGGGCGAGGCAGGGCTGTACCATCCCAGAGTGGGCTGCAAACTTCGGGGTTTTTCTACAAAATCTTCAAAACACCCCGCTGCTGCCTGGCAGGGGGGTGGCTGTTGTCAAGATGTGTAGCCGAGTGTTTCTTCCCTGGACAAACGCAGCCATGGTTCGGGCACAGTGTTCAGCATTCCCGTGGGGCTGAGCTGGCAGCACCAGCGCTGCCAGGCTGGCCCTGCTGCCCATGGTGCCTGGCTGTGCCTCTGCCAAGGGCTTTCCTGTGGCTGACTGCAGGTGTATCCTTCCTGCTGATGGGTGCCAGTGAGCTGGGCTATGCTGCTCCCCCCGCGCTGCTGATTTGGGGTTTGCACACGTGGTACTCCTTGTTAGGTGAGTTCTGCCTGTGTTGTATGGGCCATTCACACCAAAGAGAGTTCCCARTGCATCTCTGCCTGAGACCCAGTGGGATTTGCCTGGATACCAGGAAAAGGGTCTTCATTCAGAGGGTACTGGGCACTGCCCAGGCTCCCCAGGAAATGGTTATGGGCTTGAGGCTGCCAGAGCTCCAGGAGYGTTTGGACAGGGTGGGATTGTTGTCCTGTGCAGGGCTAGGAGTGGGACTTGATGTCTCCATGGGTCCCTTCCACATCAGGGTGTTCTRTAATTCTGTGAACAGGCACAAAGCCCAGAGTTGTATTGGAAGGGTTTTGTTGAACCCTGTCCCCTGCCAACCCTTACTCTGGGTCCTTCTTGGCCCTGTTTGGGGGAAAACTTCAAATTCTCAGTGCTTCTGCCAGGGCTGGTTTCTGAGTTGTGCTGCAGGTGGTTGAAGTGGGGGCAGTCCAGGGTTCATGGCTGTTGGACTCCAGAGCTGTGTCCTTCCCTTTGGTGAATGCTTCGGGACTGTGCTGCTGCCAGCCAGGAAGCTGCTCAGTCAGCGGGTGTTTTGGCCTCTCAGTGCTATCTCCTGTTCCTCTGGAGCAAGCTGGAGATGATGRCAGGGAAATGCCCTTTCCACCCTAGCAATGGGCTGTGGCGCCTTTTCCACAGCCTTTCCGGCTGGGAACAACAGTGCAACGTGGGCAAGAACCGGCTAATCCTGCCTGCCACAGGCCCCTGCCTGCCCTGCTCAGGCTGGCGGCCAGGACTCTGCCAGCTTGTCCCAGGAGGCCTCAGCCACGTGCTKAAGGATACTGCCAGCTCATGGTGACACTGCTGGAAAATGAGTACCCTGCAGGCAGCAGAGGGCTGGGGGTATTCAGGGTGGATGCACCCCTGGGTGAGGGGTGGAGAGGCAGCACTGGGCAGGGGCTTCTGGTACTTGTGGGGTGAAACAGGGAGCACCCCTCCCATTGTGGAGGTGGTTGTGGTCTCCTGGCAGCCTTGGGGCCATTGCTGGCCCCTGGCATCCCAAGACTGCTGATGGGTTGGGGTTGTGCTGATGGAGGGAGAGAGGGACAATCCTGCCCGAGCATTGTCAAATGCTCTTCAGGCTCTGCAATGTAGTATGGATTTGGCTTCCTCTAGAAATTCCTTGTGTGGATATCTGACACCTGCCCCAGCCTGGCCAATCCTGCTCCCAGTGCTGCTCCCACCCCTGCCTGGAGCTTGGTCAGCACAGCCCTGGGATCGAGAGACAGCTTCTGTTCAGTTTGAGGCTCTCCAAGGCGGTTCTCTGGTGGTCCTGGGCTGGTGTGTGCTGACAACTCCTGCTTGGAGCAGGTTGAAGGTCTGTTCTGCCAAGAGCTTTGCTTTATTCTTACCCGTGTGATTTTAAGCACCACAYATTGCTCTGATATGGACTTCACGTAACTATGAGTCCCTTCCTTGGATGTGGTAATTCAAGGACAGCTTCTCCCTATTGCCAGACCCCTTTGCTGCTGAGCAAAGCAAACACGCTGTGCTGCTGGCACCCTCTGGGTAACCTCCAGGGCCAAAGGGATTATTTCTGACAGTGGGACCTTTGTGCTGCTCCTGAGCTGGTTTATTTAGCCTGATCCAAAACTTCCTGAAAGCCTCATCTGCTGTGTCAGCCAGATTACCCTTCCCAGCCATCCAGCAGGCAAGTCCTCACAACCTGCTTTAGGCAAGTGCTCCCAGGCCCTGAGCTCAGCCTTGAGGCTGTTTCTGCCTGGTTACAGACTGCCAGGAGTGCCTGGACAATGCCTGGAGATGGGACCTGCTCAGGGACACTTGCTGTGTGCWTGCAGAAGGAATGGTCAGATACAGCCAAGTTCAGTGGCACTTGGTGGGTGAGGGAATGGCTCTGCTGGCCAAGATTAATATTGTAGASTGAATAGCTGATCTCCAGGATTAATTATAATTTCTTCAGCTGGAAGGAGCTTCCTTTATTTTGCTTGAYGCAGAAGAACAAAGCGAGCAGCGTGGCACTGCTTTGAGTGCCTCCCTAGAGGATGAAGGAACTGCTGATGCAGTCATGAAGCAGGAATGCTGCTGGGAAGGGTGTGTTTGTCTCCAGGAACACAAAATACTCCAAGGGCGCTGTTTGCTAATTGAGCTGAGTGCCTTCACTCCGCAGGTTTTGCTCCCAGCCACTTGTCCTCAGCACCTTGGATGTTGTGTTCAAGGTGTGCCTTGGGCTCCGAGCTGTCCCCTTCCCACAGAACCCCTGTCTCTGTGTGTCCTCATGTTACAGCAGTGTTCAGCTGACACTGTCCCCTGTGCCACAGCACCTGCTCCAAGGGGAGCTCCCACCTAGCAAGGGCATTGCTGGTAAATCCCATTTCTGAGTGTATGATCTCCTTCCTTTCCTCTACCCTCTGTATTCAGGGACAAAAAGCTGCTTTCCCTGTCCTCAGGCAAGCAGAATCAGGCAGCAGTGCCTGCTGGACACGGTGCCTGCTGGTGCTCCTGCCCCAGCTCACCCCAGGCTCTGTGGCACTTGGAGCAACATGGGGCTGTCCCTGGCTTCAGGGGCCAGAGGAAAAGGCTTGTTTCCCGTTGTTTATGCTTCCAGCAAGCCCTAATCCCTGTCACAGGGTTTCCATGTGGGAGAATGTGTCCTGGGACCACGCCATGTGCTCTCTGCTCTCTTGTCCCTGCCTGCTGGCTACAGATGGGTGGCTTTGCGCTTCCCTCGCACTGTGCTTCTCCCGCACTGGGCACAGCCAGTTTGGGGACAGTGAGGCCAAAGCAGAGAGCTCCTGGAGGAGATGGCTCTGCTGCCACTCAGGGCTGCTCTCTAGGGGCTGGCCCTGTTCTGGCTGATACCCTGGGCTTGTGATGGGGTTTAGGGTGTCAGCAAGAAGGCTGAGCTGCTCAAGCTCAGGAAGGATCTCAGGACTTGCCCAGCATCCCCAGGCTGTCAGAGCCCCGTTATCTCCATGGCAGAGAGTTTGGACTTAAAATGACACTCGAGATCAGCTGGAGTCAAAAACAAGATGTTGTTTGTGAGTTGTTGGCTGAAGCCAAGGCACAGAGGAGGGTGGGCAGGGCAGGGCAGGGCACTCTCGGCACCCTTGGCTCAATGTGTTCTGGGTTTGGAGAAGCTCTGTGCTCCATGGTCTGGCTGCTGGTCCATCAAGATGAGGATGCACAGGGTTGAGGCTTGGTGTCACCACAGCAAGGACAATGAGCAGGTTGGAGATGGAGCATCCCAGCCCCACCMGACTGACCTTGTCCTTGCCATGGGCTGGGCTGTTGGAGAGCAGCTCTGAACCGCGGGGCCGAGCATCCTCACTGTGCTGCCTCAGGGCTCCCAGGCCTTCCCTGGGTGGATGATGGAGCCCTGTTCCCTTCCACAGGTGGGGGATCTGACCTGCCAGCTGGATCCCATCGGCAGTGGGATGGCAAGGGAACAGCAGGGTCCAGCAGCAGGATGGCGGCACAGGAGCCTCAGAGCTGCCCTATCCTTCAGCATAGGGTTGCAGGGGGTTGCTGACCTGGCCCTTATCTTCCCTGTTTCTCTTCTTAGCTCCCGCACCTCTGCAGCCGAGAAGGAGATGGGAGGTGAGTGACAGGACAGGCACTGCAGGCCTGGGCTTGTGGGGAAGGAGCCAGGTACCACAGCCCCAGAAAATGAGCTGGACAAAGAACAGTGTGGTTCCTGGCCCAGTCCTGCCCCTCAGCAAAGCCTCAGCCTCTGCTCGGGTACTGAGCAAGCAGGACCCCTGTCAGCCCTGGGGCCTCTTCTGAGGTCCAAGCCGGAGCCTCTCTCCCTTTCACCCACACTGGAAGCTCCTGGGGAGGAGCTCGGTGGGGCTGCATGGCCCATCTGCATCCTCTTCCACCCCAGGAACAGAGCAAAGGGAGAAGCAATACCGAGCTCAGCAGGGATTTGGGGATCACCATGGTGGTGCCCACACCTATTTCTACGCTGATGAGGCCAAGTGTGACCAACACATGGAGACTTTCCTCCGCTGCATTGATGCCTCAAGTGAGTGCTCCATGTGCCCTGAAAATCTCCACCGTGTTGGGGACTGCAGGAATCCCTCAGTCCCACCACCAGCGTACCCTCCTGCCCGAGGCTGATGTCAGGCTGACTCTGTCCTTGTGGCTCCATCCAGGTGGCAGCTCAGAGGACGGCTTCTCTGCCATCAAGCTGACAGCACTGGCCAGACCCCAGTTCCTGGTGAGTGCTCTGGTTGTGGTGGGACAGAGCCAGGGCCACAGATGATRCTTCTGCTGGGGCAGGTGCCAGGCTTTGCTATGGAGGCTTCTCTAGTAATGGTAGAGAAGAGTGGGCACCAACAACCCRTCCCCTGTGAGCCCAAGACCCCTGGAGACCCTGCCTCAACTTTGAAGAGACACAAAGAGCTCAGAAGTTTAAAGGTCCCAACACGAAGAGGGGATGTGGGGTGTGTGCTGCTTGGCTTGGCCAAGGTGCCCTGCTCTGGGGTCAGYGTTCACCTTGGCCTGGCTGTGATCTTGCAAACCCCTGGCAGGACAGCAGGCTCCAGCCTGGGTGTCTCACCAGGAGCTCTGTCCCCATAGGTACGGTTCTCAGAGGTGCTGGTGAAGTGGCGAAGGTTCTTCAACCAAATGGCCGCAGATCAGGGCCAGGCCGGGCGGGCAGTGCTGGACACGAAGCTGGAGGTGGAGAAGCTGCAGGTGAGGCAGGTTCTGCCCGTGGGAGGAGGCTGTGCTGAGGGGATGGACATGGACACGCAGGGAGCAGCGTGGCCATGGACACACMGGTGCCAGAGCAGCCCTGAGCTGTCACACCTAAAGCAGACCGACCCCTGKGGCCCTGACACTCGTTTTGGTGGCAGGAGGCACTGGCCAACCTCGGCATCACGAGCAAGGCAGAGAGCCAGCAGTGGTTCAGGGGTGAGAACCTGGGCACCAGCGGGTAAGCTGCCTGCGAGCTGGGGGTGCTGCAGGGTGGGGACACTGGAGGAATTTGTCCCAGGGCCAGCAGCAAGGGGAGGTCTCTGAAGGCCTGCTCTGGCTCAGCACAGTAATGGAGCATAGGGGRAGTTTGGGCGGGGTGACAAGACAAGTCAGGGCGGCACATGCCATGTGTCCTGCTTGCTGGTGGGGGTTGGGAGCTGGCAGAGDCCCCCCTGCCATTGCAAGACACCAGCAAGGACCTGGCTCTCTGCTCCCAGCACTGTGGACCTGCTGGACTGGAACAGAATGTTCAACAGCCGCAACAAGCTCTCCAGGCCCCTGTTCATCCCCAACAGGAAGGTGAGTACCCACCCTTGCTACCCCCAGAGTGGTCCCACAGCATTTGTGAGAGCAGGGTGAGGGTCTTGTGCACTTCTCAGCAGGTGCTGGTGGYTGCAGTGCTGGTGGCAGAGCTCAGCTGTGCTGTGGCCACGGTGTGCAGCCCCCAGGCTGGCAGGGTGGGCACCCTATCACACCATGCTGGCTTGTGGGGGCTGGGGTGGGGCAGCAGCCCTGGGGAAGGGTTCTGTCCAGGGGCGTTTGTGTCCCTCATGGGCAGAGCTGGATGCAGGCAGGGTGCCATAGAGCTGTTCTGGTTTCAGACTGGGCAGCTGGAGCCTCTGCTGTTGCGCTTCAGTGAGGAGGAGGASCTGCAGATGAAGCGGGTGCTGCAACGCATGGATGTCCTGGCCAAGGTGAGGGGGCCCCGGGGCCAGGGGAGCCCCAGGGGGTGACACACGGAGCAGGCAGCCCTATGAGCCCATCCTGCGTGTCATTTGCTCCCAGAGAGCCATGGAGAAGGGCGTGAGGCTGATGGTGGACGCAGAACAGAGCTACTTCCAGCCGGCCATCAGCTGGCTCACAGTGGAGACGCAGCGCCGCTTCAACGGCAGCCAGCCCATCATCTACAACACCTACCAGTGCTACCTGAAGGTGGGGTGACCCCTCCCCGCCCCACTGCCACAGCTTCAGGGACACCTCGGCTCCTGGGGCCGCCACAGTGCAGTGGCACAGTCGGGGGTGGCACTGTGCCAATGAYCTTGTGCCATCTCTGCCACCTGGTCACAGGAGGCGTACAACAACGTGACAGGGGATGTGGAGCTGTCGCGCCGGGAGGGCTGGCACTTCGGTACCAAGCTGGTGCGCGGCGCCTACATGGAGCAGGAGAGGGAGAGGGCGGCTGAGATGGGCTATGAGGATCCCATCAACCCCACCTATGAGAAGACCAATGAGATGTACCACAGGTAGGGGACAGCCCCAGCCACGCTGCTCCCTGTTGCCCCAGTGGGAAGAGGCCTCACCAGAGGCCCATCTTGCCCTACAGGTGCCTGGACTATGTCCTGGAGGAGATCAAGAGCAGCCGGAAAGCCAGCGTGATGGTGGCATCTCACAACGAGGACACRGTGAAGTTCACCCTGCGCAGGTGGGTGCTGGGCAGGCAGCGTGGGGAGGCAGGGACCAGGGGCTAGAGGGATGTGGGGGCCCAGCACAGCTGCAGGGAGATGTCCTTTGTCAGATGTGGCTTGTCAAATCCCCCCTGAGCTCACCTGGGGCATCCTGGCTCCCACCTGGTGCTCAGGGCTTTAGATGGGGCTTGGTGGTGGGGTTACAACATGGTGGCCCCAGTGTGTGTAGAACTGGTCCCATCCCCAACCCAGAGGGTTCTGTAAAAACAAATCCCTCAAGTTCTACATCCCAGCATCCATCTGGGATGTGGTCAGTGCCACGCTGTCCTGTTTGGAGATGATCCCCAGTCCTCTGGTGGGACACACTGCCCTGGTAAGCTCTGCTGTGTCTGCTCTCCCCCTATGCTGAGGCTCGTTTTACAGGATGATGGAGCTGGGGATCCATCCCTCAGACAAGAAGGTGTGCTTCGGGCAGCTGCTGGGCATGTGTGACCAAATCACCTTCCCCCTGGGTGAGTGATGGGAGTGGAGGGCTTGGCAGAGGAGCTCTTGCTCCACCAGGACCCTTAGGGTCGCCCTGAGCAGCTTTTGTGGGGTCTAGAGGAGGGAGGGAGACCATCCTGACATGGAGCAGGACTGGCTGAGCCAATCCTGGCTATGGGGAATGCTGTGAGCCCTGTGAGGGKTTTGGGGAAGACRGAGATGAGGATGTAAGTGGAGAATYATCTCCCTCCTGGAATTGCATGAGCCTGTAGTGGCTGAACAAGGACATTCCCACTTTGGAGTCTGAGCAGAGATCGAGGTGTCCCAAGGTGGGGCAGAGACTGCTCCTGGCAGACTGAACCCCTRTCCTGTCCCTCTCAGCCTGGGGGCATCACTGGGCTCCATGGGAGGTGCACACCAAGCCCTGGGCTCTCTGCTAACAGGGTGGCACTAGCCTCTGGTGTGACCTTGTCCTCAGCCACTGGCCTAGGCAGTGGAGCAGCACTGCCAGGGGCCTGGACAGAGGGACACACAAGGGTCCAGGTCCTCAGCTCGTGTCAGGGACTGATCTCCCTGCCCACACCAGTGTCCGGAGCAGAGTCCCCAGGCCAGCAAAGCAGCAGGAGGCAAACTGGGCAGTTGTCCAGCACAGATGCTGCTCTGTCCTGGAAGCGGGGTTTGGCCGCCCGTCTGCAGCTCCTCCGGTCATGCTGGAAAAATGTGTTAACTTGATGTTTCTGGTTGAACGCTCCTTGAGCTGGCCCAGCCCCGGCTGCCGACATTCCCAGGGCTCCTTGTGACCTTGGCCYGCTCCCTCTGGCGCTTTCCCAAGCTGCCGGTGCTGAGCCGGGAGAGATGCACCGCTGCTTCCCCACCAGACTCTGCCGCTCCCGGGATGCCCCTCCCAGTGCCCAGCCATAGCCTCTTGCACATCCACCCGTGTCCYATCAGCACATTCCCACGGGCATGGGAGAGCTGGCAGGAAAGGGCTGGTGGCCATTTTTTTCCCCTCTCTTTTTTTCTTCCCCCCCATTTTTCCTTCACCCTTTTTCTTCTTCACCCGTTTCTTCCTCAGCCCTTTTCCTTTTCCCCCTTTTTTCCCCTTCCCCCCTTTTTCCCCCCCTTCCTGTCCCTTCCTCCTCCTTCCCCCCTCTTTTCCCCCTTTGCCACTCTTTTCCCCTTTTCATGCATCTTCCTCCTATTTTCCTTCTCCTTTTTTGCATTTTTTCACTTTTTTTCCTCCTTTTTTCCCCTTCTTTTTCCTTTTTGTGCCTTTTTTTGCTCTCGGCGCTGCCCTGACCTGCAGCCTCTCTCCCTCAGGCCAGGCTGGCTTCCCCGTGTACAAGTATGTGCCCTACGGGCCAGTGAACGAGGTGCTGCCCTACCTGTCCCGCCGGGCCCAGGAGAACAGGGGCTTCATGCAGCGGGCGAACCGCGAGCGGGACCTGCTCTGGAAAGAGGTCAAGAGGCGTCTCCTGACGGGAACCCTCTTCAGCCACTGACCCCAGCCCCAGCCACGGGGCTCCTGTGCCTTCAGCCTGAACCACTGTCATCATTCCCCATGCCAGCTGTGCTGCAGCTCCCCCAGCCCCCTTTGCCCTGGAGAAAAGTGTCCTTGTTGCTGTTGAACCACTCACACCTTCCACTGGCCTCTGGGCTSCCCCCAGCGATGTCCCGTGGCTTCTCGAGCGGTCCCAGGGGAGGTGCTGGGGCTCTCCTGCCAGCCCGCTCCGTGCCTTGGTGAACCCTGTCCTGGGTTTTTATCCCTGGCAGGATTGTGCAGGGTGATTTAATCCACTTGCCTTGTACCACAGGCTCAGGTCCGGGTGGGTTGGGTGACTAGGGGACAAGCTGGCCTCAGCCAGAAGCTCCTCCAGCCTCTGTCAGGGTTGGAGCTTTGTCTCTTCTAGACCTTTGAAGGGGCTGGATCAGTCCCTGTTGCCTGTCCCAGACAGCCACTACCTGCCTGCTCACTGGCTTTGCACTGACCAGAGCTGGGCAGGTCCAGCTCCCCCCTATCCCCCTGGGCTAAGCTGCCTGGGGCTGTCAATCCTCAGGCACACATCCCGTGGAGCAGGAGGGGCCAGGGGAGTGGGCTGGCCCCATCCCTGTGCCATTCCTGYACTGCCCACGGTCCCTGGGCAGTGGGAGCACCAGGAGCTGGACCACAGCTCGGCTCTGCTGTACACTGGATTTGCAGAGAATGGAAATTATTAAATCACAGCTGTTCCTCCTCCTGTCTCTCTCTCTGTTACTGGGCAGCCACATCTCCAGGCACTGCTGTGRTCCCAAAGGGGGATTGGTGCTGCTCGCTTTGTCCTGAGCCAGGGCTTGGGGAAACGAGTGAGGCCAAATTTCCTGGCACAGGGACTGGAGAAGCTGTGGAGCTGCCTGTGATGGGCTTGGGGGGAGCTGGGAGTCCCTACTGCAGAGGAGGGGGGGCAGCATGGGACAGCCTCTCTCCACCCTGAGATCTGCTTTTGGGGGACATGCACCCTGCAGACTTTCRCATCTCAAATTAAGGGCACTTTTCCCTGGGCTCACAGGCATCTCTGGGATTACCTGCCTGGTGTTGTGGCAGTGTCTCCTTTTTCCCTGGGCTAGTCACTCTGCTTGGTGAGCCACCCACACCAAAGGGGTGATGTTTAGGCTTTCCAGARCTAAGCTGGAGCCTCCTGCCTTTTCTCTATCTGAGATTCTCCTGCCTTAAAAAACACCTGGAGGTGAGCAGGGAGCCTTGCTGGAGCAGAGGACCAGAACAGCACTGGTGCAGGCAGCAGCTGGACTCCTGGTATTCCAGGGAAGATGGGAGCTGCTCCAGGCCCTGGGCTGCCTCTCCAGCCCATGCAGGATACTGTGGCAGTGGCACAGAGTSCCCTGGCACCCCAGGGCCTGAGCTCTACTGCTGCAGCCGCGTCCAGGGCTGGCTGATGTGGCAGGAGCAGCTGTTACCCACTGTGAGCTTCTGAAAAGACTCCCAGACATCTGTGTTGTAAGGCAGGAGAAGCCCTACTCTGGTCCCTCTTTCTTGCAGTTAACCCCCTCCCCAGCACTCACTCTTTCCAGGACAGAAGGACAACTTCACAGCAGGGGTCAGTGATGTTTTCTGCAGGGCCTCTGTAGGACTGCAGGTGCTGCCTCCTGAGCACCCAAGGCATGGGATGCCCTTGAAGCCATAAAATACCTGGTTCCCCACAACCTTTCTCAGAATGTCTTCAGCTGGAAGGGACCCCCAGGATCACCCAGCCCMGCCCCYRKCCCTGCCCAGACCCCCCAACAATCCCCCCTGTGCATCCCYGGCAGCGCTGTCCAAACGCTCCTGGAGCTCTGGCAGCCTCGGGGCCGGGACCATTCCCTGGGGAGCCTGGGCAGTGCCAGCACCCTCTGGGGACAGGAGAACCTTTCCCTGCTCTCCCCCTGCCCTGGCCCAGCTGTATCCATGCTCAGCCAGTAAACAGCAAACTGCCTCCTTTGTTTATGGGTGCACTGACCCACCAGCCCTCCCATGTCCTAGTCTTTCCTCACCCTGCTCAGGTTTAGCTTTTGCTGTTGGTCACTGTTTTCTGCTTGTCCTGAAGGAAGAGGAGGCATGGAATGGTGGTGTGTGTGCAGGACCTTCCTGCTTGCAAGGTTGCTGCTGCAGCGGTGGGGAGTTGGAAGGGGAAAGAGCTGTATCCTTACAGCAACCATCCTGACAGCCTGGGCACAGCCAGGATGGTGACAAGAACCTCACATTGTAGGATTCCCCATGCCCCACTGCCCACTGAAGCAGCCATGGGGATTTTTGAACCACTGACAAAACAGCATCTATTTCCTCAGTTTTGTGTTCGGAAGTACGATAGTGCTGGGGTTCCTTTCTGTGGTATTTTCCGAAACACAGAAAGACAGGAGGCAAGCACCTGGCAGGGTCTGAAACGAGAACTGCTAATGATGGTGTGATGGAAAGCATGGGCTAGCCCTGCATGGACAGCAGCCTGGCTGGGAGCAGCGGGAGAGGAGGGAGGGGTGGGTGGTACCTGCAGGCTGTGCAATGCCCCAGGCCCTGGCAGCACCAGCCAGCCCAGGGCACTGTGAAACCTCCCTCTGCTTCTCCCTGCAGYGTCCTCAGCTTCTCCAGCTTCTTATGCCAGCTGGCAGCATCTTCTGAGGGACCAGCTTATCTCCCTGGCTGCAGCCCAGCCCCTGCTCTGCCACAGGTTACACTGGCAGAAACAGAGCAGCCGACATGCGCTGCCTGCTGGCCAAGAGGAAGAGAAGTTTATGGAAACCATAAAAACATTCAAAAGCTGTGACATTCTTGCACAAAGCATCAGCATGGGGAGGCAGTGTGAGGCAGTGTCACCTGTGACCAGGACAGTGGAGCACCAGGACTGCTCAGCACAAGGCAGGAGGATGGAGAGAGTGGGACAGGAAGGGAATCCTAGCTATGGAAACAGCCAGAGGGAGGCCGCAGCTCGAGGTGGGCTCAGCTGCCAGGGGAGGCACCACCACCAAACCCGGATTCCTGCCTAACTTTGGAGTTGACCCCTCTCCATCCTATTTTAATTCAACATAAAGGGATGCTGAGTTCAGCCTGAGGCTGAGCCATCCCAATGGAGCAATTTGGGTCTCTACAGCTTTCATATTTCTTATGCCTGTGAGCAGGATGTGGCTGGGGAAACAGGGATGAGGAGGTAGRGGAGGTGGGCAAGAGATGCTGCTTCCTCGTGCTGCTGCCAAACAGGTGAAATGTGCCAGAGAAAAAAGGAGGGGAGCAAGGGGATGCYCCACAATGGTCACATTCTCACTGGTAAGACCACCAGAGGCTTTCCACTGGGAGTCACCTGTCTGAGCAAGAGAGAAGCCTTCATGCTCTCCAGTACTGCAAATACCAAAGAGGGTGAGAACCCACCAAATGCGTTCACTCTCTGCTCGGTGCAGGGACCCCAAGATGCTCAGAACTCCCTGATCTTCTCCAGACGGATGCTGCCCAGGTCATGCCTACTGTGATGGAGGCTCCATATCCACAGAAGATCCCTGAGGTGTGACCCCTCAGMTGCAGCTCTGTGGGAGATGCAGTGTCCATACACCTTCGCTGTCCATACACCTTCCCCTTCTGCAGATGGGTCTGCAGAAGCCATCAGCTTTCCTCAGGAGACACACGCAGCTGTTCAGCTGTATTTGGGCTACCCTAACGGAGATGGCCAGGGTGTCCCCATCCATGCTTCCCCCATACTGTTATCAGGTGTCCTGGGAGCTCAGAGAAGCTTAAGGCATCTCTTGCAGTGACCAATAAAAGCCAGCCACATGGGTGGCGGCCAAGGAAACACTGGCCCATTCAGTGCTGCTGCACTGTTGGGCTGTGAGGTGTATTGACAGGGCTGCCCCACCGTGCTAGAGGTGCAGGATTCGTGCCGGTGCCCAGGGTGTCCCCCTGATTCYCAGCTGTGTCTTTACAGCGGGTTAACCAGCGGCTACTCTGAAGCCCTTCTGTCTCTGCTGCTACAAGCACCACTTGGCTCGCACGGGTCCCTGCGTGGCTCCCAACGGGCTGGTCCAGGCTGCCGCACACATGGAGATGCCAGATCACTGGCATGTGCCATCTTCTGGACCTGCAGAACTGCACCTGGATCTACCAGACTTTTGGGAAACCGGGTCCTGGGGCTGTCAGGCACCTGGAGCTGCTGGATCCCTGGATCAGGTGGATACTGGGCTTTCGGGCTCCTGAGGGCTGCCAGATTGCCAGGACAGACTGACCCGCGGGTCCTGGGACAGCCAGGACTGTGGGACCCCTGGAGATTCTGGAACCCCAGGTCAAACAGATCCCAGGGCTGTTGTGCATCTGGGGATGCCGGATCCCAGAAAGAGCCTGGGACTGCCTGACCCCCGGGACAGTCAAAATCCGGAGCTCTTGGACACGCAGGGCTGTCGAAGCCCTATAGCTCCTRGATCCCAGGAAAGCCAGACCCCGGGGACCAGACTGCTGGGGACTCCCGGGGCTCTGGAGCTTCCAAATCATCGTGACAGCCGATCCTCGGTGCTACCGGACCGCGGACCATTCAGACGCCGGAGCCACTGGACTCCCACGACTCCCAGGACTCCCGGGAGCTACTGGACCCCCGGGCTGCTCTGGAAGCCAGGACTCCGCATCCTCCCATTCCCCCTCGGGGACCCTCCCCGAGTTCGACTGCGCTGCCCACCCGGTGGAGCCCCTCGGGGCCGTCGAGGCGGCGCTGCCCGGGGCCGGGGCCGGGGCCGGGGCGGCGGCGGCAGCGGCCCCCGGAGCCTGGCCCACCGTCAGGGGAACCAATGCGGAATTTCCTGGCTGGCGGCGGAGCCCCTCCCGCCGCTGCCGAGAGGGGCGCGGGGGAGGCGGCAGCGAAGCGATCGCAACGCGGCTTCCGCCCGCCGAGCGGCAGCGGGGACCGGCGGGGACCGGGACGGGCGGGGACCGGGAGCGGCCGAGCCGGGGCGGGGGGGCAGCGCCTGGCCCTGGATGGGCTGTGCCGGGTCCGGCCGTGTCCCGCCGCTCCGCCGCTGATGGCGGCCCGTGGGCTGCGGCCGCCCCGCCGCGCCCGGGCCGGGGCCGCGCTGCTGTCGGTGCTGCTGCTGCTGCTGCCGCTGCTGAGCCGCGGAGCCGCGCAGGAGCTGAGCCCCCGCGGCAGGAACGTCTGCAGGGCCGGCGGGTAGGAGCGGGGGCGGGCAGGTGTGCGGGGCGGGACGGGACCCCGGCGCCGTGCGGGGCCGGGGCCGCGGACGGGACGGGACGGGACGGGACGGGACGGGACGGGACGGGCTCACCGGTCCATCCCCCATCCCGGGCAGCCGCGGCGCTGGGCGCCTTCCAAGACAAAGTCCGTCTTGTGCGCGGCTGAGGCGGGGGGAGCCGGCGTGAGGAGTTGAGCCGAGCGGGGCCGGGAGCGTGGAGGCTCGTCCTGATACCCGGGGGGCTGCGGGAAACCGGTCCTGGATGCCTCCGGAGCCGGCCCTGGATGTCCGAGGCCGGTTCTCCTGTAGGCAGATAGGTTTGGGTGTCTCTGGGGATGCAGTCGTGAGAGGGACGGAGGGCAATCCTGCATCCCTGGGCATGATCTGTGCTGGGGAGCCGGTCCTGGGTGCCCGCCGGGATTGGGTTGCATTGCGGGGGCCGGTCCTGAGCCACCCCCGGGGACCGGTCGCACTGCTGAGCCTTGGCTGGTGGGATACAGGATGCTCTGGGTATCGTGGTGGAACTGCCCCAAGCTGCTGTGGATTGTGGAGGTGGCAATCTCATGAC